ATTTCAGGGGAGATGGAGCCGATCAACCGCCGGTGGCTTCCCGCGTCATCAATTCGTCCCAGTAGTTTCGACTCCGGCCGCTCGTCAACTGGGCCAACTTTCAGCGGTGCTGAAAGTCGCCAGTTAAGGACATCGGCTTTCAGCAGTATCCAGTAGGATTTTCCTTGATGCCTGGGACTTCAAGGCTCAGATTGCGGTGGTCGCGCAGCGCGCAGTGAGACCTGCGGGTCGCGACTTCACCAACAAACTGATCCCAGGAAGCCTCATCCACCAGGAAAACCCAAGGATCTGTACAACATTTACTCTAACATTAACATTTACATTGAAAACAACCAAACTTTACGTTAATATAAATAAACACTTGTTTCCCTATCTACTATATATCACAGTTTATATCACAGTGGTTCTTGACTCGTGCTTTATGCACGGTCTGTGGCTAAGGGATGCGAATCCGTCGTTCCCACGCCCGGATGCCACCACCCTGCCACCGCAGCACCCTCTGTGAACTGTGCCCGGGAGCAATTGTCCATCTTTTTGCGGACGAAGCCTCCCGTCCTGACTGGGAAACTAATTAAAAATAAAAACAACGAATATACGCCTTGGTCACCAGTCCCCGGTCCTCGGTGCAGTTGCAGACCGTAACATAGGCCTCGCAAGCCACCGATTGCGAGGGCTGGATGACCTAGGACGTGGCCTTTCGAGACGTCGTAGCGGGATATTCTTTTATTTTTTTAGATTTGGGCGCCATATTGTAACGGAACTGCCTTTCTTTGGGCAACGCCGGGCTAGCTCAGGGTGCCCAGGGCTGGGTCCGACCTCCTCCACATTTCGGGGCATCACCCATCTCCGGCATGCCGGAGCTTACTCCAGGCGGCCTAGCGACTGGCCCATCTCCCCCCAGGTAAACATACTGCATTTTCATTTTCTTAACTTTTACTGGCTATTAATTATAAGTTTTTGGCATCTTACGTCTAACAGATTTACAAATATGGTTTAGGCGCCAACTCGTCCACGGCGAGAACGTGGCCTCAGCCAGGGATGCGCTTGCACCAAGGCTGCCCTTTATTGGGGACCGACAACGTTGGCGGAGGAGAAGCTCTTCGGCCACAAATTGGCCACGATTGGCTAACCAGAAATTTTCCCTCTTTCACCTACTATCCCTACTGGAGCTCCATAAGAAATAGCCTAGGGTCAGGGTTCAAACAAAACTGAGGGCTTACTAAGGGCTTCTTCCCCGTTCCCCTATTGGTCGCAGCGCATGGGTTGCACCAATCCCGGACCCAGGATACGATCAATCCGGAGGGCGAGACAAACACACTAATACCTCAAATCTAACACTAACTAACAATAACACTAATGTCTTACACCTAACAACCTAAATTTATTTTTTTCTTCTTTTATATATCCCAGCTCGCCCTGGTTTGGCGCCGGGTGGTAAGGGCTGCCCGCAGGTCGACGGCAGCTGCCTGGGCAGAAATTAATGCGCAATTCGCCCTTGGTATCGTCCCATGCGGAACGGACTCACCGGATCTGGGGTCTTCTTTGGACTGCGGCGGTGGCGACGCCTCCGAAGTTGGCTCCGGCCGGCGGACTTGGCTGCGCCGGTCACTCTGGCCGGTGGTTGTTGGTTGCGGCAGCGGCGACGGTTGTTGGTTGCGTGGGCCGGCGGACTTGGCTTGCGGCGGCGACGACGCGGCTCCGGCATCCTCCTGATTGCCGCCACTCTACCGGGATCCATGCTCAGACGACCTCCACCCACGACGAAACCCAAGTAAGTCAAAGACTTGAAGCAGAATTTCGATTTATTCATGCCGATAGTTAATCCCGCTTCTCTTAGGCATTCGGCGACCCGTCGTAGGTATCGGAAGTGCGTCTCGATGTCCGGGGCCAGAATGAGCAGATCGTCCAAGTATACAAATACGTTGGATCGGATCTCGGCTGGGATTACTCGATCCATGAGTCTCACCAGCCTCTGTGCCGCATTACAGAGCCCGAAAGGCATCACCCTGAATTGGTAGAGGGGCCGACCAGGAACTGTGAACGCCGTCAACTCCTTGCTCTTCTCGTCCAGTTCGAACTGCCAGAACGCAAAATTTCGAATCCACGCTGGAGATGAAATGCGTTTGATCGATTCTGGACAGGATTCCATCGATACTAGGCAAGGGGTAAGCATCCTTGACGGTCACGTCATTTAGTTTCCTGGCGTCTAAACAGAATCTATCCTTTCCAGGCTTCGACACCACCGTCGTCCGGTTGCTCCAAGGGCTCTTGCTCTCCTCGATGACTCCCAGGGTTAGCATCTTGTCGACTTCGTCCTCGACCACTTTTTGCTTGGCTGGTGACATGAGGGTAGGGTCGGTCTTTGAAAATTTTGGCACCTTCCACCAGCTCTATGGAGTGTTTCTCCAGGACAGTCGTTCCCAAACCATCCTTTTCGAAGGTGAGGAACCTCTGCTTGATTTCCTCTAGCTCTCGGTTCTCGGCTTCAGATAATGTCCCTACTGGAGCTCCATAAGAAATAGCCTAGGGTCAGGGTTCAAACAAAACTGAGGGCTTACTAAGGGCTTCTTCCCCGTTCCCCTATTGGTCGCAGCGCATGGGTTGCACCAATCCCGGATCCAGGATACGATCAATCCGGAGGGCGAGACAAACACACTAATACCTCAAATCTAACACTAACTAACAATAACACTAATGTCTTACACCTAACAACCTAAATTTATTTTTTTTCTTCCTTTATATTTCCCAGCTCGCCCTGGTTTGGCGCCGGGTGGTAAGGGCTGCCCGCAGGTCGGCGGCAGCTGCCTGGGCAGAAATTAATGCGCAATTCGCCCTTGGTATCGTCCCATGCGGAACGGACTCACCGGATCTGGGGTCTTCTTTGGACTGGACTGCGCCGGTCACTCTGGCCGGTGGTTGTTGGTTGCGGTAGCTCTAGCCGGTGGTTATTGGTTGCGGCAGCGGCGACGGTTGTTGGTTGCGTGGGCCGGCGGACGACGCGGTGCTCAGCAGCTCGGGCGACGGCTCTGGGAAAACGGCTCTGAGGCGACGGCTCCGACGCTTGCGTGGGCCGGCGGACTTGGCTTGCGGCGGCGACGACGCGGTGCCCAGCAGCTCGGTCGACGGCTCTGGGAAAACGGCTCAGGAAACGGCACTGGGAAAACGGCTCAGGAAACGGCACTGGGTGGCTCTGAGGCGACGGCTCAGGAAAACGGCACTGGGTGGCGATCGGTCACGTCTCCAACTTCTTTCCGGGATCACGTTTTTTCCTTTCCGAAGTTAACCGCACCACGCACCACGTTATCCATCCAGTTTTTTTCCGCTCGCACCTCCCTTTATAGCCCGGTTCCTTTTCCTCTATTCCAGACTCCAGCCGTTACTTTTTCATCGCCCTTGCTGAGAGAAAGGGCAAGAACCCTTTCTCTTAGGCACTTCGAACTACCCGGTTCGCTCATTTTTCCTCGCCCCCTCCTGGTCCTTCCAATCCCCCCTATCGATATATCGATAGTCCTTCAGCCCGTTCCCACCCGAAATGCAACAAAATGTAAAAATATTTAATAAGTTCAATCGCGAAATCGGTATTTTGAGGCAGGCCATGTTGATGTATCCGTATGAGAGAGCTACTGCCCTACAGTACCTGTCATCAGTAATTCATCAACAGTCAAGGGGGTGCTGTTGATTTTTCATCGATGACAGGCCATACAAACTGTTGATTTATTTAACATGGGCATGTCCTAGGCTATCATCAATAAAAATACATCAACAATTAATCGATCATTCATCAACAATTCATCGATGTTTCATCAACAATTCATCGTTGTTTCATCAACAATTCATCGATGTTTCATCAACAAATTTCTCAACGTTCGGGCTATGGTACTGCCGACGACTGCCGTCTAGACTACCGCCGTAACTGTATCGTGGGCAGAGCGTCGTAGTAGAAGTCGCAGTTGGCAGAGGGTCGACTCGGTAGAAGTCGCAGTCGGCAGAGCGTCGCCTCGGTATAAGTCGCAGTCGGCGCGTTGATGACATGTTGATGACAGTGGCCTATTGATGACACGCGGTACTGCAGGGTGGTTCTGGAGCCAGCAAGAGAGAGCGGCTCTAAAGCGCTCTCTCGCTGTCTTTTGAACGAAATTTGAGAGCCTGAAGCCAGTTCAAAAGCCAGAACGAAAATTGTGTGCAAAAAAATCGTAAGACGTAACGGATCTTCAACACTATAGTTTTTGGTTATATTGTGTACATTTATTTATTTAACCTGTAAAATATTTGAAAAAAGAAATTAAACAATTCGTTAAAATGTTATGATATTGTGTGGCACATAATTTATTAATTTTTTGCACAATAAATTTTTTTTAAAGTGGCCTGATTCGCACGGAATTAATCAGGCAACATCATATATGTACATAGCTGCCATAAGAACGTTTAAGAAATGTATAATAAAAAAATTACAACTTCGCAGTTTTTCATCCAAATATCATTTGCTTTGAGAAATATTTATTATTTATTATTTCAGAATTTCAGTTTTAATTTTATTAAAATCAGAAGATTAAAATATAAAGCTGCTATAGAAACGATCGTTAAATGTAGCGGAAAATGCTAAATTTTATGTGTAAAACTTCAAATTATATATGTATCGGTAAACGTTTAAACCGAATTTTTGACATATTTAAATGTTGGAATAATTTTTAACGTTATTGTAAAGTACAAGGGTATACAAACTTCGGCGTGCCGAATTAACTTCCTTTCCTCTTAAAATGATATTAATAACGCAAAACCATTGAAGCATACTTTGATTTTCTTTATTAAGATACAAAAATTTCACAAATTTAACAGAAAACTATCTAGTGTCGTTTTTCTTAAGTTTGAGCACTTTGGTACACACATGCAATAGTGATAATCTACTTAAAATAGTATATATAAGATATAATTCAAATTACAGCGATTAATGTTTGTCCGTTTACAATTTTTTTAGGTTTAAGAGTTTTTGTGTCATTGAGGGCGTAAATGGAAAATCTAACACAGAAAAACTATTTATCTCTAAGTTTGTCATATCTTTAAGAGATTATTATTATATCAATTTACAATAAATATTTTATAAATTAAAATCAACCTTTTATAAAAATAACGTTTGACGTACAAATTAAAATTTGTAAATAGCTCGCACGGCAATATTTAGTTGCTACATACCAAATATTTGTAAGCAATTTATCGAGTACTAGGTTTTTTTGGTTGTCATTACAGAAGTTAATCAATATATTATCTAGGTCGATCGTTTGCTTTGATTTGGGTAAATTAATACACACTCACTTTCGGTATTTGCTTAACTTCCAAAAATGCTATGTATATATATGTTATTTAGTCTGACACTCCCTAGTCCTTATTTTATTCGTCTTTATCTCTAAGCCAGGAATAATACTATGGACTATTTTTGTATCCGTTCTCTATGGGTTTAGTTGGCTGCAAACAATCACAATTGCAATTTTTATCTTCACCACCGGTTAACTTTTTTTGCTGCTGCTTTTGCTTTTGGACCATCTCTAAACGCGTCTTGTATGTATATAGCGACTGCAAGGGTACGTGTAAGAGCTCAACGATTTGCGTAAAGTCTAATACTAAAAAAATAAAGGAAAAATAATGAAATTTGTTTGAAAATAGTGTGAAAACCAGAAATACTTCTTACCGTCATCAGCAGTGATGTGACCATGGCGAATAAGGAAGTCAATAACTACTGGAGCTGATGTTGTCTTAAAATCTGGCGTAAAAACCCGCTCCACACACTCCTTAGCCGGAAGTAACTCAAAAGCTTGTACCTCGCCGTCAGCGTTATGGGGAACAAAGTCGACTGGGAGTTCCAAGTCAAATACGTATTCGGTGTTGGGAAAAAGTCCTTGTCGGCTTTCAAAATAAAATGAGACACATCCCGCCGACACCAAATTCTTGACAAGATCACTTGGAATAGATGCCTCCTCGGCAGCTTCCTTAATAGCTGTCTCCTTTATACCGAAACCAACAGATAGCCCACCGCCAACCATATTGTCCCACTTGCCAGGCCATGTCTCTTTGGTGTTTGAACGCTGTTGCAGCCAGATGCATAGCCCTTGGGTTGGATGACGCACATAACCATTGATGTCGACGCCGTACTTGCGGACACCAAAGAGCGGTGTAGCTGCTCGTTCCATTTTCAGCAAAGCCCGGTGCTCGGATTTTACCTCAAAGTACTCATCCCGCCATCCTTGAAGGGCTGGGAACAATCCCTCTGAGCGCAGGGTACGAAGTACTTTTTCCAATTGCTCTGTGCGCTCATTGTAGTCACGAAAGGCAGGATTTAGTTCAACTACACCCTATAATGGGAAATTTGGTTAAATTAAGCAATATGATAATATACATGGTATTAACGACTTAGCTTACCTGTTTGGTTTGTTCACAGTCCCGAAAGCAAAACACTTCTGGATACTTCAAAAGCTGCTTAAATACATCTGATTTCACCAGCCCTACTTGTTGACCCTCAACCACAAATGGACGTATGTCGCTCTTTTGGATACCTGAGTTTCAATAAAGAAATTATATTATTAGTTAAAAGAAAAAATAATGCGCGAAATGGTATTGTTTCGAAGACTTTCTTTATATCATTTTTAGCACCTTAAAAAGATTATTATTTATAACAAGGAAGAAATCTTTCGGACGCCGAGGTTTATATACTTTTGTTGTTTAAAATTGGAAAATCAAGCCATACTAGTTGAAATAAACAAAATTTATATTAGATGTTCAAAATTTTATTTTAAATGTACATTAATAAGAATTAGAAACACATTCCGATTGATCGAATTTATTTCAGATATCGCTATAACTGAACAGTTTGTGTTTAAAATTTGAATTTGAAAATTTTTTGGGGTGTATGCAGAGATATGCGGTTGAGTGTACATACATACATACATGTACATATGTATATGCGACTGAGAGTATTTAGAAGATGATGTTTCATCGAGATAGCTTCAAAACCGAGGGTTCCTATTTAAACATACGTGTACATATTTGAAACAAATTAAATGACATGCATATGTTTGTATAAATTTCGATATGTATGTATTTATTAACAAATGTACATACATATGTATGTACATGTACCTAAATGAATTTGGGGATATTTTCGCCCATGTATGTATATACATACATATGAACATACATAAAAACATCCATGTGCATACATATGTACATATATGTATGTATGTTCAAATTTCACTTGATAAAAATGGTCTTGCATAAGAGCTTTAACTGGTGTCGCGATTTCTGAACTTTAAGTCTAACAAACTAACAAATGCCATTCAAACAATAATGTACATAGTTGCAATACAGATATAACATTATATGAGGAGTTGCATTTTCTTCTGAATAATAGATACTGACAACTAAACAAACTAATCGATAAAGCATAAGAATTCGCGTCCTGCTGTAGGTTTAGGTTGCAAGCGCTACAAACATCCCACCTACATATACATACAAATATATGGGCTTTTTAGACCAGACCTTTTTGTCAAGGCGGAATTTATTTTTGCTTACCTGTCAAATAGAAGTTGTTAAACTTCTGTGCTAGGATTAGTAACCGCGACAGCTTGACTTCGGTAGAAGACATTTGAGTTACAAGGTCCGAGAAGGAAGAAAAGACTCCAGAAACGCCGGTCAAACTGTCTTCAACTTACTGGCCCCTCTTTGTTGCCAAGTCGTGCAGTAACTACTGGCACCCTTAGAAATTTACTGTAACCAACTTTCTTTATATTTTACTTGTGGAGACGCCAAAGGTTACGTTTCTAACAGTCTAGGAAAACTAACCTATGGAGACAATGAAAACACAGACTAAAATAATGTGTCAACTAACGCCGGACTTCAGAGTTTTCCAGCACAGTTTGTAGTCAGCTGGTGCGACTCAGTTTTGGCGCTTTAGCCTTTTTTAACATAAGACAGGTACATATTAAAAATTCTTAATTTTTATCTAGTATTTTTCCGTAAAGTACAGTATGGGAATCTGCGAAAAGAATTTTAATGTGGTAAATTACGGTATGGTAACATGATGAAATATGGATTAAATTGTTCAGAGCTGCAATTCTGTTCGTTCCTTTTGCTTACATACGTTCTACCATTAAGTTAAAATCACATTCTTTTATTTAATATTCTTCGTCGAGCATACATATGTACATACATACATACATACATTTACGGCAATAAATGAAGAAGTCGGTATTTTTCATTAACGACTGAACTTATTTTGATGAAATATACATACATATATCAAAATGTTTGGAATTACGATCCCGTTAATTATACGATCTCCATTTTGCATAAGTTTTATAATAAAGTTTAAATCAAAATGACTTAATTTTAGGCAGGCAGGCCTGTCGGATATATTATCTTTTACCGGTACATAAATAGAAATAAATAAAAATAGACTGAGCGGATTTTGACGAGAAGTCCATTAAAATGTTCAGAATTGCGATCCCGTTAATGGTACGATCTTCAGTTTGCATAATTTTTATAATACATTTTTAAATCAAATTGACCTAATTTTAGGCAGGCAGTGCTGCCAGATACATTTATTCAGTGCTGCCAGATACATTTATTCTTCGTAGGAACAATTATGGAAATAAATGAAAAAGTGGGGGTTTCTCATGAACGACTGAACGGATTTTGATAAAACAACTACCAAAATGCTTGGAATGCCAATTCCATTCATGCGGCATGCATATTTCATAAATGGCCAATAGGAATATTTTCTGGCGGGCTATTCATCGATAGGGTGTGGGAAGCGCTCTTATCGATTTGAAGCCAGTGTTTGTGAACGAGGTCGGAAAAGAGAAACACTTGATTTTCTCAAAAGCTGACAGTTAGATCGAATTAATATTTAATTCGAAATTAGGGAATATTTGTCCCTTCCTTTTGAGATACCGTGCAAGTTTGCACGCGTTCATTTAAGGGAGTTAGAATTTTTCAAAAGTTATGGGGCATGCAACATGGCGTTACGGTCATTACGAAGCCAGTGTTTGTGAATGAGGTCGGAAAAGAGAAACACTTTAATTTCTCAAAATCTGACAGTTAGCTCACATTAATATTTAATTCAAAATTAGGGAATATTTTCTCCTAGCTTTGGAGATACCGTGCAAGTTTGCACGCGTTCATTTAAGGGTGTAAGATTTTTGTAAAAGTTTGCGTCGATTTTCCTTGTCTGGAGGGGCATAACATGCCGCCGTAGTATATACTAAAATATTCTAAAAAGAACGAAATAGATCATTTTTGAATGGCTTTTTCATTTATTGGGCAGACAGTTTTCTTACAATTTTATTCAACAATTTCCTATTTTTATATAATTTAGAATTTTTCTTAACATGGTTCCATGGTCTGGTTCGACGAGTGGTTTTCTGCTGGTTCCCATCTGGTTCCATTTTCCATTGCACGCGTTCGTAAATCGAAGTTATAAGCCTTACAATTTTTGATGTCCTGTGAGGTTAGATCACTGTTATGCGATTTACTCAAAAACTGACAGTTTGAAGAAATTCAAACTTGGTAGTGAAAACCTACAATAAATGTCCTTAATTTTGGCGTATCGGGTGTTGCTGAACGCGTTCGATTAGCCGAGATATTAAGAAATCCGTGAAAACACGATTTTTCACGATTTTTATCCAATGTCAAATACTTTCAAAATCAGTATAAAACAATAGTAAATTCATTATTTAGCATTTGGAAACTTTTTTTCTTTCGAATTAGTGCCTTAATTACGAAATTAATTAAAAATTAAAGATCCCCTCCGTGTTCCATCGACGCTAATTTGACGGACATGCAAATGTTATCATATATTGTTGACCCGGCTCTTTTCAAACATAAGACACGTTCAAAATTTTATGCTTGGTTTTTTATAAATATTTGTCCCAAAGGATGTTTTCCAGCTGTTTCGCCACCATTGGAACAATGGACGTCTTAATATTATAAAAATCTTAAGTACCTTTATAAGGAACTCGCATGATGGATCGGTGTATGGTTTATGAAAGGACATGGTGGCACCAGTGGGCAAACCTATTCACCTTCGTCGAACCCAGTCTGTCAAAGGCTGGAACCGAAATGGAATCCAATTTGGTCCACGATATCGACCTGAAAAATATCTAGTGTTTAATAATCTGTGCCAGGAACATAGAGATCTCTTAGATCCATAGGGCAAGCTGTGGAGATGTCCCTTTTTGTTCGTGCTGGCCCCTCTTCCTAACAAATTAATATAATTGCCAAAACCTCGAAATATTATATTTCCGCTTATTAATTTAATTTAATTATCTTTAATTTATTAATGAAATTTTCTTGTAACTATTATTATCTGAATTCATCTTTTTCGCACATTTTTGTTAATGGCGGGATCAATTTAAATGGCCGAGAACAGCGAGAACGGCGCAGACGTAATGCCGTTTTAAACTGTTTGTCTCTCGCTTACACTCACTGCTTTAAAATGGTGTTTATACTCTCCATACCATTGTTATATATAAAATTTTCAATCATTGGTTTCGTTTAGAAAAACAACATTATCCATTTCAAGTGTCTGATAAACAAATTCAGCTAATTGTTTCTTTTATCACGACACTGCTCTAATGAACAAAAATTGTAATTAAAAATGTATTTGTTGTGCCGGTAATTGGGAGCATGATACAATTATACAAGGTAGTCCCGTCGGTAAAATTCGGTACCTCTTCAATCACAGCAATGAGTGCAAGTGGGAGGCGCTCAACAAAGTAAGTGCGCGCGGCACAACAATAGAATCTGTTGATTACCCCTTAACCCTTAGATGATATATGGGTCTTTAAGTTTCCTTTTAAAATAAATGTTTCATCAACAATTCATCGATGATTCACCAACAAATTTTTCAACGGCCGAGCCATGGTACTGTCGACGACTGCCGTCTAGCCTGCCGCCGAACTGTAGCGTCGTAGTAGAAGTCGCAGTCGGCAAAGCGTCGCCTCGGTAGAAGTCGCAGTCGGCGCGTTGATGACATGTTGATGACAGAGGCCTATTGATGACACGCGGTACTGCCGGGTATCAAAGCAGTTAAAGGCGAGTCTTTGCCTATTGTGCTGTTGCCATGTTGCTTTGTCTTGGTCTTTCATGGTTTGCGTTTTTGCAAAACTAATTAATTAGTAGATTACTATTTAAGTGTTGTTTATTTTCCCCTTTTGAATCATATTTTTTTTTGTAGGTGCATCGCAAAAGTGTGATTCCACGTTTCTACATTTTTAATATGTGGCGCACAGGTAATGGAACCAACAACGGCTGCATTATTTTAGAGTAAAGCGAAGTGTCAAAAAATATATGAAATAAAAATATGGGCAATTCTGTGGTGTCGAATGAGACATTCGTACGCATTCAAACTAAAAAAAAAACATGTGCCAAGACTTTATTTTAATTTTACAAAAATTGTAACGTATAGTTCTTTGTTAGCACTATAATTGGTGCTAAGGTCGATTTTGAATCCTTGTTCGTTTTAAGATATTTAATAAAATCTCCTGCGTTCTCCCGCTACAAAAATAGAAGTTACATTTGCAAGAAACCAGTTTAAGATTTAATTTCAGCGAAACCTGATGAAACATTTTAGTACAATAAATTTAAGTGAATTATGCAATGAATTATCTTAATAATGATTTTTGTTTGATTTTAAAATATGAAGTAGTTATTTTTTTAATTCAATTTTAGTCCCGGTCGCACGCGACATTTTAGAAAGCGATAATTCAAACTAAAACGGTACGAATATTGGTGATCGCATATGTCCTTTTGCAGTTTATATTGACTCTTTTCATTCTCTGTGTGATATTAGAAACCAAAAGTAAAAGCAAATTGCTTTTGTTTAAGATATTGGCATCAAAACAAAACATGCCATATTTTATGACTTTTTTTTTTGATAAAAATAACATTATTTGCGTTTGCGCGTGTTTGACATAGAATTTTTTTGAAATTTATTTAAGAAAATGAAAAATTCCCTTAATCTTGATCAATCTGACAAATTTTTAATGTAACCATGTTAAAAATACTCGTTGAAGTTTTTAAGTTTTTGGCCGCGGTGGACCTTTCTCGAGAATTGCCCATATATAAAAAAACAATTGGTGCTGTTTTGGAAATTTTACAAACAGAAAAATCTTCAGTTATTCAAAATCAATCTGGATGGCTTAATAAAAAAGAATCAATTTAAATAAAACACCCCTATTGCAAATCAAATCAATTAGAGGAAAGTACTGATCGGTGCCATCCAAAACTTGATTTTGAGGAGGCTTTAGAGAGAACAAGCATACGACATGTAGGTCAGCGCGTTTAAATTAATGAGTCCGCTGTTTCTGCTCTACGCAATGATAATCGAAATCAAAATTTCCTGCCGATAGATTCATGGAAGTTATTTCGCTTTTTAATGGAGACCACCATGACGATACACCAATATGTAAAAATATGACAATATGACAGCCTAGGACATGCCCATGTTAAATTCATCATCAGTTTGTATGGCCATTCATCGATGAATCATTAAAAACACCGCCTTGACTGTTGATGAATTACTGATGACTGGTACTGCAGGGTAGAGAGATGGAGGTAGAGGATCTTCAATCGACGCAAATATCACAAACAAATTTTTCTCTTTGAGTCCGAAATAACAAGCCCGATACTTCTTTGATTCATAGATGTGGAACATAATTGCAACCATGTACTTTTTACTATTTTCAGCTCTAATAGAGCGTGCATTAGTATCGATTGGAAAGCTTTCAGAGGAAACTGCAGAGTCCAATAACAAGGAAATAAAAAAAAGTTGACTCCAGCGCAGTCGGAAAGTGTCTTGTACTTTAGCAAACACAGATGTGATGAACTACCTATTATTGCGTTCAGATCTGTTTTTAAGTGGACAGAGACAACTTATAAAAAAATAGGTCGAGTTGGCTTACATCTGTATATGAATTTCTTGTTTCCCTAATATATTGTTTGTTGATTTTTTATTTTATTTTTATTTTCTTTGATAAAATGTATAAATATAAAAAATATCTTCCATTCTTTCTTAATATATTATTCTTCTGTAAATTAATAATAACATATTTATAAATTAGATTATGCAAATCTGTTTTTAATAATTTTGTATAATTTTCTTCCGATGGGAGCTATAGGATTTAGCTGTTCGATATGTTTCTATTTTTTTTTTACCTTTTTTAAACATTAAAAAAAAGTGTCGTAGTTCAGTTTAGTTAGCTCTTTAAAAGGCTAAAAATATGAAAACAAAAACTTTAAAAGTTGACTTAATTTTTAAAAATGTTTCGTTTATATTAATCAACAACATATAACTAAACTACGTTGTTTTTTTTAATGTTTATATTAGGTAAAAAAAGAAACGTATCGAACGGCTATATCCTATAGCTCTCATCGGAACAAAATTTAAAAAAAAAACATATTTGTTTAATTTATTTTATCTAATTGTTTTGCGGAGTAATTTCAATCTCTTTTTACAAGCTTGGTCAAAAGTCTTGTCTTGGTCAAAACTTATCAACCATCTGCAGTATATATGCAATAAAAAATTTTGTTTTAATGTCGTTTTTTGATGGTAGCTGGTGGAAACTTTTTTTTTGATGGAAATTTAAAAGAGTGGGAATATACCATTATTGGCAATAATTATAGACATTACATTAGACATTTTGTTTCTGTATGGCAACATTGAAAAGGTCGCCATCTTTCTTTCTCTTCTGAACCCTGTAACCGCGTGGTCGTCGATACGTTAAAGGTTGGTGAATATTACTTTTAATAAGCGAATAAATATGCGCTTGGATGCTCTCTCTGTAGTGGATTGTTGCTTAATTGCTAATTTATTTTAGGTATCAATACAACAAAATGACGAACTCAAAGGGCTACCGTCGCGGCACCCGGGACATGTTCTCCCGGCCCTTTCGCAAGCATGGAGTCATTCCCCTGTCCACTTATATGCGCGTCTTTAAAATTGGAGATATTGTGGACATTAAAGGTCATGGTGCCGTACAAAAAGGTCTGCCCTACAAGGCCTATCACGGCAAAACCGGTCGCATCTTCAACGTCACACAGCACGCAGTAGGTGTCATTGTAAACAAACGTGTCCGTGGCAAGATTCTTGCCAAGCGTGTAAATGTTCGCATTGAACACATTCACCACTCCAAGTGCCGTGAGGACTTCCTTCGTCGAGTCAAGGAGAACGAGCGTCTGTTGAAGGAGGCCAAGGAGAAGGGTCAGTGGGTCAATCTTAAGCGCCAGCCCGAACAGCCAAAGAAGGCGCATTTCGTTAAAAAGCTGGAGGAACCCATCGCCCTTGCACCGATTCCATACGAGTTCATTGCTTAAGAAAGTGAGCGAAACGGATTGTATTTAAAAATAATATTGTGGAATGTTGGTTCAAAAGTAAATGAATTAATTTTCTATATAATTTTTGAATATCAAAAGGATCTTTTATTTTTCCAATTTTTATATCCAGACAACAGTAAGACTTTCCTTTTTACCTATCAGTTGAGGAATTCAATCATATCAAAGAAGACTTTTTGTATTGAGTAACGAAGCAATAGCAAATTAAATTTAGGACAATGAAAAAGGTAATTACATTGCAGTTGGTTTGCTTGAAATGTGTAGAAGAGCGCGGTTTTCTCGAAAAGTATACTTATATATTTGCGAATGCTGTATATGTACATATGTATGTATTCTTTAAAACAAATGAGCAGTACATGCATCAGCATGAGGACTTGCAGTTTATACATATATGTACATATGTACACTCAACCGCATATCTCTGCGTACACCCCAAAAAATTTTCAAATTCAAATTTTAAATACAAACTGTTCAGTTAATTTTTAACATTTTAGACAAGTTTTGTTTCTAACATATTCTTTATTAAATTGTCTTCCATGACGTATTTTTTTAGAATTATGAAACAATGCTTTATATTTTATTTTTAATTTTAAACTTAACACTGTAAAAAAATGACCCCGCAAAAGTCTGCGTACAGCTGACGAAAAACTATTTTAACTTAATAATATACTTATTTTAATATCTGGTATGGTATCCATTCCTGGGTACAACCTCCGAAAGGCGTCTCGGCATGGAATCCTCCAGATTTTTTGGCTTCTCGCCTGTTATTTTGATCCTTTCCTCCACAATGACTTCCTTAAGTATTTTTTTCGACGTTATTGTATGTTTCCGGATCTTCCGCTCCAAGAGATGCCACAAATGCGCAATTGGGCTAAGATCTGGACTCTGTGGAGGTATTCGCGACTGATTTTTAACTTGTAATAGAAAGTAAAGCTTTGTATTATGTGCCGTGTGCTTCGGATCATTGTCCTCTTGAAACCAATATTCATGTTCCAACCCTAATTTTACAGGACTTTCTGGGAAATTGTCAGTCGCTTAATCCTCGTTGGTCATACCCGTTAATTATACGATCTCCATTTTGCATAAGTTTTATAATAAAGTTTAAAATTTAAATTTAATTTAATTTAAATCAAAATTACTTAATTTTAGGCAGGCAGGCCTGTCGGATATATTATCTTTTACCGGTACATAAATAGAAATAAATAAAAATAGACTGAGCGGATTTTGACAAAACGTGCATCAAAATTTTCAGAATTGCGATCTCGTTAATGGTATGATCATCAGTTTGCATAAGTTTTATAATAAAGTTTTAAATCAAATTGACTTAATTTAAGGTAGGCAGTGCTGCCAGATATATTTAATCTTTGCATAAACATTTATGGAAATAAATGCAAAAGTGGGGGTTACTCATGAACGACTGAACGGATTTTGATAAAACAACTACCAAAATGCTTGCAATGTCAATTCCAATTATGTGGCATGATTATTTTATACAATTGTTTAAATGGCCAATAGGAATATTTTCTGGCGGGCTATTCATCGATAGGGTGTGGGAAGCGCTCTTATCGATTTAAAGCCAGTGTTTGTGAACGAGGTCGGAAAAGAGAAACACTTGATTTTCTCAAAATCTGACAGTTAGATCGAATTAATATTTAATTCGAAATTAGAGAATATTTGTCCCTTCCTTTTGAGATACCGTGCAAGTTTGCACGCGTTCATTTAAGGGAGTTAGAATTTTTCAAAAGTTATGGGGCATGCAACATGGCGTTACGGTCATTACGAAGCCAGTGTTTGTGAATGAGGTCGGAAAAGAGAAACACTTTAATTTTAATTAATTTAATTCAAAATTAGGGAATATTTTCTCCTAGCTTTGGAGATACCGTGCAAGTTTGCACGCGTTCATTTAAGGGTGTAAGATTTTTGTAAAAGTTTGCGTCGATTTTCCTTGTCTGGAGGGGCATAACATGCCGCCGTAGTATATACTAAAATATTCTAAAAAGAACGAAATAGATCATTTTTGAATGGCTTTTTCATTTATTGGGCAGTCAGTTTTCTTACAATTTTATTCAACAATTTCCTATTTTTATATAATTTAGAATTTTTCTTAACATGGTTCCATGGTCTGGTTCGACGAGTGGTTTTCTGCTGGTTCCCATCTGGTTCCATTTTCCATTGCACGCGTTCGTAAATCGAAGTTATAAGCCTTACAATTTTTGATGTCCTGTGAGGTTAGATCACTGTTATGCGATTTACTCAAAAACTGACAGTTTGAAGAAATTCAAACTTGGTAGTGAAAACCTACAATAAATGTCCTTAATTTTGGCGTATCGGGTGTTGCTGAACGCGTTCGATTAGACGAGATATTAAGAAATCCGTGAAAACACGATTTTTCACGATTTTTATCCAATGTCAAATACTTTCAAAATCAGTATAAAACAATAGTAAATTCATTATTTAGCATTTGGAAACTTTTTTTCTTTCGAATTAGTGCCTTAATTACGAAATTAATTAAAAATTAAAGATCCCCTCCGTGTTCCATCGACGCTAATTTGACGGACATGCAAATGTTATCATATATTGTTGACCCGGCTCTTTTCAAACATAAGACACGTTCAAAATTTTATGCTTGGTTTTTATAAATATTTGTCCCAAAGGATGTTTTCCAGCTGTTTCGCCACCATTGGAACAATGGACGTCTTAATATTATAAAAATCTTAAGTACCTTTATAAGGAACTCGCATGATGGATCGGTGTATGGTTTATGAAAGGACATGGTGGCACCAGTGGGCAAACCTATTCACCTTCGTCGAACCCAGTCTGTCAAAGGCTGGAACCGAAATGGAATCCAATTTGGTCCACGATATCGACCTGAAAAATATCTAGTGTTTAATAATCTGTGCCAGGAACATAGAGATCTCTTAGATCCATAGGGCAAGCTGTGGAGATGTCCCTTTTTGTTCGTGCTGGCCCCTCTTCCTAACAAATTAAAATAATTGCCAAAACCTCGAAATATTATATTTCCGCTTATTAATTTAATTTAATTATCTTTAATTTATTAATGAAATTTTCTTGTAACTATTATTATCTGAATTCATATTTTTCGCACATTTTTGTTCATGGCGGGATCAATTTAAATGGCCGAGAACAGCGAGAACGGCGCAGACGTAATGCCGTTTTAAACTGTTTGTCTCTCGCTTACACTCACTGCTTTAAAATGGTGTTTATACTCTCCATACCATTGTTATATATAAAATGTTCAATCATTGGTTTCGTTTAGAAAAACAACATTATCCATTTCAAGTGTCTGATAAACAAATTCAGCTAATTGTTTCTTTTATCACGACACTGCTCTAATGAACAAAAATTGTAATTAAAAATGTATTTGTTGTGCCGGTAATTGGGAGCATGATACAATTATACAAGGTAGTCCCGTCGGTAAAATTCGGTACCTCTTCAATCACAGCAATGAGTGCAAGTGGGAGGCGCTCAACAAAGTAAGTGCGCGCGGCACAACAATAGAATCTGTTGATTAACCCTTAACCCTTAGATGATATATGGGTCTTTAAGTTTCCTTTTAAAATAAAACGAGTAAAACATTTTTTTATAAATTAATTTGTAACAATTTTGAAGTGAAAATTAGTTGCGAGTCTTTTTTTTTCAAGTTCTTAATTCCAAAATATATTCGCAGCTAAAATATAAATTTTTTTGAATGTCATGTTGCGTAAGGGTTATAGCTAGATAATATTTTGTCCGCACACAACCTTTCACTTCGAAAAACCCGAGCGCTTTGACTGCCTACGAAACTTCCTTGGTAATTGTATCATGGTTAGGAGATAGTTCTTCGATGCAATTCTGAATTCTTCTGGTCGATGGAAATTTAACCATTCACTGCGAAGATGCAAAGGAAAAAGTGAAATATACAATATACTTGTAACCGTATAACCCATCTACCTATGAATTAAAGTATAAAATCTAAGTTTGCGCCAATGTTTCATAAAAAAAAAGAACGAAAAGTAAAGGAGAACGTTCTGATTGTTAACTTTCTCAGTGATTAAATGTTGAGAGAATAAAATTTTGGCAACGAAACGTTCTGATTGTTCACTTTCTCAGTGATTAAATGTTGAGAGAATAAAATTTTGGCAACGAACTACATGTTACATTCACCAAACTAAATGGCAGTGATTTTAATTTCACTTAATAAAGTTTGTTTACAAAACTTAGATGGATATCAGTGCACTGTGGATCCGTCAGAGGTCAAAAATCAAAACATGTGATTACGTATTATTTAAGCGAAATGTAACGAAATGGTCTTTTAAAAGTCTAAACTTCTCTTTGGCATACCGGATTTTACTAAAAATCTAACGGTACTTTCTAAAAATAGCTTTGCAATCGTGAAGACGTGTTCATTTTGGCATGTTATAAGAGATCAGACGTTAGCTAGTGTGTTCCGAATTTAATTACCCTGCAGTACCTGTCATCAGTAATTCATCAACGTTTCATCAACAGTCAAGGGGGGCTGTTGATTTTTCATCGATGACAGGCCATACAAACTGTTGATGAATTTAACATGGGCATGTCCTAGGCTGTTATCGACAAAAATTCATCAACAATAAATCGATGACTCATCGATGTTTCATCAACAAATCATCAATGAATCATTGATGTTTCATCAACAATTCATCGATGATTCACCAACAAATTTTTCAACGGCCGGGCCATGGTACTGTCGACGACTGCCGTCTAGCCTGCCGCCGAACTGTAGCGTCGTAGTAGAAGTCGCAGTCGGCAAAGCGTCGCCTCGGTAGAAGTCGCAGTCGGCGCGTTGATGACATGTTGATGACAGAGGCCTATTGATGACACGCGGTACTGCCGGGTATCAAAGCAGTTAAAGGCGAGTCTTTGCCTATTGTGCTGTTGCCATGTTGCTTTGTCTTGGTCTTTCATGGTTTGCGTTTTTGCAAAACTTATTAATTAGTAGATTACTATTTAAGTGTTGTTTATTTTCCCCTTTTGAATCATATTTTTTTTGTAGGTGCATCGCAAA